CACAAGTGATCGTCTAGCTATGTAAATCAGGTACGATGCATAGCTGATTTGTTGTTTCTACGATATAAATTCGGATTTGCTTGTTTTCGTCCCTCTCCGTTGAAGTTGAACATAAGGTGTTCGACGAAATGTTTCGCCTAGTTTTCCCATGTTTATGATTCTGATTTATTAAAAATTCAGCAGTTTTGAGTCATATGATTCATTGAATCGATACTTGAGCATATATCCATAGTTCTACTATTGTTAGTCTCGACTCTCCAGGAATCGAATGCTGATCAAAATTTTAGTTTATTTAGGAAATGATAAGACTGAGTTACCATTTTTCATGTCTATTTCATTGTCATTACTGATTCATTTGATCTGTGTCTCTAGATTAATGTCGCTATGTCGAATTGGAGTCATAAAGTGTGGAGAAATCTGAGCTTAATTCAAGGAGCTAGTTACTCAACCACGCCTTCAAGAACCAACAAATTAAAGCTTGATGACCTTAGAAAAATCCGGCCGATGATTCTACGAAGAATCGAAAACCGAGCAAAAGATTACCCGGTTAAAGAGATTGTTCCTGTGGCTGAAGATGTTCTTATAGCCAGAAAGTATCTGCTCAGTGACGTCACTGCACTTCTTAAAGTGATTCCTGTCTTGACTTGCAAGTAAGTTTCTAAATCTTTCGTTGGAGTTGTTGGATAGTAAAAAACTCTGTTTTGATACTGAGGCTTGTAAAAAATTGAATCTTTTTAGATTTTGCTCGGAAGTGTTTGTTGGCAAAGAAGGACACTTGATTGAGACATGCCGTAGTTATATACGGCGTGGCAACAATAGGCTACATGAATGGGTTCCAGGTTCCATAAACGATATACTTGTCCCCGTCGAATCCTATCACTTAGACAATATTTCTCAAGGTGTTATCAGACACCAAGAGAGGTTTGATTATGACCGTGTTCCCGCAATCTTGGAGCTATGTTGTCAAGCAGGAGCCATCCATCCCGAAGAAATCCTGCAATATTCCCAGGTTCACGATAACCCGCAAATTTCGGATGAGGATATCAGGAGTTTACCTGCTGGAGAACTTAAATATGTTGGGGCAAACGCTCTAATGGCATGGGAGAAACTGAGAGCTGGTGTGAAGAAACTCTTGCTGGTTTATCGTTCAAAAGTTTGCAAACGATGCAAGGAGGTTCACATTGGACCAAGCGGTCATAAAGCTCGGCTATGTGGTGTGTTCAAATACGAGAGCTGGCGCGGCACTCACTACTGGGAAAAAGCCGGTGTGAACGATCTGGTACCCGAGAAAGTGGTGTGGCACCGGAGACCTCAGGACCCAGTGGTTCTTTTGAATGAAGGACGGCATCATTACGGACATGCCCCTGCTATCGTGAGCCTTTGTAGCCATGCTGGTGCCATTGTTCCTGTTAAGTACGCTTGCAAAATGAAGCCTCAAGGTCTATCTTTTCCTCACTGATTCAGTTCCAAATCACTAAACGTAGATAGTAGTGCTATATAACTCCTGGTTGTAGTCTGATTATGTGATTGATTTGGTCTTTGGCATTACCAATTTTCGAGAACCATACCAAGCCAAAATAAACCAAGGCTTTGTAGTATTCTGGAGTTCAGACATTAACTCCAGACGTGATACAGTGTTAATGACAAATTTACAGGCTCATTGGTACATGTTATCATTAGGCATGTATTACCAAAGGTCGTTTGATGCGTTTCACATTTTCTGGATAGGTTGAAGTTTCATGCTAAAGGGCTAAACCCCATTTGGCCCAATCGTAGTGGTCCTGTGGTAGTTGCACTTGCATGCATGTCAACATTTTTTTGGTACAAATGTTTACAACAAAGTCATCAACGAGGTGGATAAAAGTGAACCATGAAAGAAAACAATTGAATATTATTAGCCTACCTAGCAAAAGACCATATGTGATTTTATCATTTCCCCTTGCAGTTTGCACAAGTTGGAACTGTATCTCTCAAGTTGCAATTTTATTATGTCGACATTATTAGAGCCCCACTAGCCGATTTTGATTTTGGTTTGTAGCTAACCGGGTAATTTTGTTCATCATTCACCGGTTACTTTACGTGTCAAAATTTAGTCACTAGATAACCTTTTTTTTTTTTGCTTCTTTTATCATTGTCATTATATAATTTAGATTACACTTTATTACTTACGTCACACTAA